AAATTTGCTTATGGGTTAAAACATAATTTATGGTTATCACTACATTATTAAACATTTGTCACAAATTAACACAGAAACAAAGAATAGCGTAGTTTACTCTATTATTGCAAATAAAATAGTAAGAGTATTTTTTTAACTGCTACTGTTTCGAAGACAGCTACATGAAAAACACTCAAAATTTACGTATAATCCATAAATGCAACAAAAAAAATGTGGGTTCCTATTTTAAAATGTCAACTTAGGCATGGTATCTCAATTTTGGGACACCTCTACATTTCAATTTTATCTGGAAAAATGCTCGTTAAAAAATATAACATAGATGTCCAAGCCTTTTTTCTGGAAGAATATCCCCCGAATTTTTATCGAATTGATTCCATACTTTATGTACACAGTGTATATATATTATATATATATATATATAAGCATATATAGTTATTGTTAGGGTACAGGAAATAAATGTACCATGTTTTCGGAATTATATTAGCTTAAAGATCTAACCCAAACCACAGCAAAACCTTTGTTTCGCTTTTATTTTCAAATATTCGTTTCAACATCCTAAATTTTGTTTTAAGCACTGTATATAGATTAAATAAATCCTAGCTAACCATTAAGGAGATATTATAAAGGTAGTAAACATTTTCAACTTCATTTAGTTGTAATTAGATTTTTGGCCACATATTCGTAACTTCCTAACACTGTGCCCCTGTCTGAAATTTTGAACTTTAGCGCTTACTATTTTGTAATTGAAAATTAACGCTTATTTTCCGCAAATGCACCATACATGCGATACATCATTGGAAAGCTAAAAATATATTCTTTTCATTAACATCATAATCAAGTATAGTTTGTATTTAAAAAAATACAACTTTGTGTTGTATCTCAAAAATCATCAAATATTTTTAAAGTTTTTCAACGAGCAGTATATTCTACTTAAAAAAGTGTCTTAAGAACGTATCAACCTCGTTTCTCTAATTTCAAAAATAAACGAAATATGAGCATTTTTTGAAATCACGAAAATTTGACTTTGGCTATTACTTAAAAACTAAAGAAGATACAGGTTTGGTGTTTACGGGATTGGGTTAGTCTCGAAAAAAGAGACTGAGACATGGCACCTACTTTTTTCGTATCTCTTATAGTTTCTGAGATAACCTATAATAACACCCAAATTTACCCACCCTGTACAGGTGTATGAGGTATGAGTAGAAAAAATTTGAGGGGTTATAGGTCTCCTCTTTCTGAATAAAAATTTTTTATAACAATGCCCCATTTTTTCCCATTCGTAAGATATGATTCGATAAAGTTAAAGGTTTGAAAGTTTGCTGTATAAAGAATTATATTAAGCAGGCTTTGTTTATGTAATATAGCTTTAATTTGACACATAAAAGTCATTTTTGAGATATTTTTTAGAGGTTATTTACTTTATACGAATAAACTTATCACTTCTGTTTTATCACTCTTTAATGTGAAGATTTACAAAAATTTTGGTTTTAATAAATCAACTTGCTTATTGTATTAAAAACAACAAAATTACAAAACTAGAAACAAATAATTACAAACTTGTGAACCCTTAACTTTATCGTATCATATCTTAAGAAGGACAAAGAATGGGACATTGTGTTATAAGAATTTTTTATTCAGAAAGAGGAGACCTATAACACCTTAAATTTTTTCTACTCATACCTAATACACCACATATACAGGGTGTCTCAGCGAGACCGGTCATTAGACGTTTCTGGGGTTCTGGCGAAAATAAAAATTTGAGAATTCAGACTTAAGTATTATCAATTACGATCTCTTCGACTAAAATATTTTCAGATTTCTTGCACTTCCGGTTATACCGGAAGTCGCCACCTACTTTATTTTTTTAAATGGAACACCCTGTATATTTTTACATATTTGGATTTGTCTGTTTTGAAGGTTTATAAATAACTTTACTTTTTGCAATTTGAACCAGCAATTCTCGAGTTATTCGAATTTTTCTAGAAAAATTTGCTCCAGCGGACATTTGTTCAAAAAATCATAGAACACTCAATTTTTGAGATATCAATTTAGGATTCAGAACATGCTTAAACAACATGATGGAGTATGTTTTGGTGCCGAGAACGGCTGTCTAGATCGTTTGGTCACTTTACTATGATACGTTAACTTTTCGAAATTTGGAAGCACCATAACTTCATTTTTTTAAATGGCACCCCCCATATTTTATTACTTAGTCGTCTTCGGCGTCTCATTTTACATCTTTTATATTCCATATGTCCTATGCCTAACATTAATAGTTTGAGAAATAATTAGGGTTTTTTGAAAAATGCTCACATATCATATGGATATTAACCTAGTGTGCCATGGAAAACAAATGTTTAATGACTTATTGATAAACGTCAAAGTCTAATTTAGGTTGTTTGATGCTTGTGAGTCTAAAACCAGTTAAAATGGATATTAATAACGTAAATAATGTTTATACAAATGAAGAAATCCATAATTTATTTTTTGTGCACGAAAAGTGCGACAAAGTTCTTAGTAGAACTTGCAGAATGTTTAATGAAAATTATCCACATTTATCTCCGATGACAAAAGGTAAATTTAGAGGAATAGAAGCAAATTTTTTGCATTTTGGACGAATTAATCACGTGTTAAACTGACCAAAAAATGTAGTAGATAATGCAACGGAAGAGGTGAATACCTTGGCTTATTTCGAGCCCAGTCCCAACACCTCAATTCGAGCTGCCAAAGAAGATCTGGGAATCATACTACGAACTTTGTCGCGCTTTTCATGCAAAAAAAATAAATTAAGAATTTCTTGATTTGTGTAAATATTACTTTCGTTATTGTTATCGATTTTAACTCGTTTCAGTACTAATATTAAGGGACATAACAGATAATTATTAGCTCACATGCATCAAGTGACGTAAACAAGTGAGTCTTTGACAAGAACTCATTGAGAAGGCTTGTTTTTCATGGCACACTAGGCTAAATATCCATATGATATGTGTGCATTTTTCAAAAAACCCTAATTATCTCCCAAACTATTAATGTTAGGTATGGGACATATGGGATATAAAAGATGTAGAATGAGACGCCGAAGACGACTAAGTAATAAAATATGGGGGGTGCCATTTAAAAAAATGAAGTTATGGTACTTCCAAATTTTGAAAAGTTAACGTGCCATAGTAAAGTGACCAAACGTTCTAGACAGCCGTTCTCGGCACCAAAACATACTCCATCATGTTGCTTAAGCATGTTCTGAATCCTAAATTGATATCCCAAAAATCGAGTGTTCTCTGATTTTTTGAACAAATGTCTGCTGGAGCAGATTTTTCTAGAAAAATTCGAATAACTCGAGAACGGCCGAATCAAATTGCAAAAAGTAAAGTTATTTATAAACCTTGAAAACAGACAAATCCAAATATGTAAGAATATACAGGGTGTTCCATTTAAAAAAATAAAGTAGGTGGCGACTTCCGGTATAACCGGAAGTGCTAGAAATCTGAAAATATTTTAGACGAAGAGAACATAATTGATAATACTTAACTCTGAATTCTCAATTTTTTATTTTGTCCAGAACCACAGAAACGTCTAATGATCGGTCTCGCTGAGACACCTGTATATCTCAATATTATATTGTCATTATCTGAATATTGACAATATTATGGAACGTGTGAGTAGAAAGATCGACATATTGTCTATATTGAAAATATTGATGGGATGGTTTGACGAAAACGACAATATTTGATATATGTATTGTCAATCTGAGGGAGATATTGACAATCCTACGTTAAGAGGATTATATTACGGATTATTATATGGCGTAATAATGAATTTAGACAGATATACTTTAATGGACGAAAGTGCTATTAACTTCCAGGATGGTTCATTAACACATGTAAACATGACATGATATCTTTGACAGCCAACGCAAAACTAAGTAGATTGTCAATAAATATTGATAGTCTGAAGCAATTACAGTTTGTTAGTATTTATTGGCCATATCACGTGAAGGGCGCTTAAACGGTCAATATTATTGTCAATATGCTAAGGTATTGTCAATATTATTGATCGTGTAAGGGCCGTTTAAGGTGTAGGCCCAGTAACAATACAAGACTTAAAAGTAGGAATAGAACATGACGAGGTGTCAGTGATAATTTCCGTGACAATAATGGTCGCCATCTTCTTGAACTAATATTCAATAAATGATTTTTTTTGGTTTACATAAAATTTCATCTTTTCTCTTAATATTTGTTGCAAAAAAAATTAAATTTATGTTTTATAATACTTTTAAATAGTGCGGTTTGGATCTATTAAAAAATAAAAAAAGTAAAATATTATATTATGACAACACACAGTTATATTTTAAAAATTCTTCTTATTCCATAAAAATGTTTAAACCTACTTCATACAAGTTTTAATAGATTTCATATTCACACTTTAAAAATAATTCTTAGTCTCCAACAAATCATCAGGCGGCCTGGGAAGAATGTCCGGTGCCATTTTATATTTACAAAAATCAATACTTCGTTGTAATAAATTGAAATTTAAACAAGCGTCCGCATCGTCAACAACTTTATCGTCAGTTTTTGAAACTTCAAATTTGGACCATTTGTAATTGGAGCATTTCCTCGTTCCAGGCGACGTTTGAATCAAATTTAAAACGGTCGGATGGGAAAGACCGAAAAAATCATTTCCTCTCGGTCTTGTAGTGACTACATTAAATGATAAACAATCGTTAATTTTTTGTAAGAGTAACGAGTGGCAAACATCCGCGGATCCACCCACTATGGGATTTTCACTATCATCACTTGCAATTTGAAATCTATAAAATTAAAAATGAAATCAAATTAAAACAAAATAACAATAACTCCAATCTACCTAGGTAAACCATTTGCTTCTGAAATTGTACAAGTATAAATGCACTTAATTGTAGGATCTTTTAAACTTCCATAAATTCTAGTGGATACATATCCAACGGGATATATAACATCTTCCGAATGAAATTCGGATTTATCAGAAACAACTTCACCCAAAGAATGCACAGTGAGATTTCCAAGTTCAATAGGAAAAATGGGGCGACCCATCGAGTCAAGAAGGATTTGTTGGAAGAATCTCTTTTTCATTTTAAGAGGTGGTTTCTTAGATTTAAGCATTTTTTTACTATTTTGATTTGGAAGATTTTTTCGTTTATTTCTTTTAATATTTGCCGTCGAAGTTGATGAACTGGTGTTATTATTATTAGAATTATTATTATTGTTGTTATTTTGAGCGGAACGTTTCGATAAGGCCTCTACAGCTTTTTCAGTTTCCGGTTCAAATGCGCATAATTTTCTTAACAAAAATTTTCTTTCTTCCGTTCTCATGATTATTTGTTCTTGGACATCTGCTATTTCATCGCACAAAGCGGCGTTTTCCTGAAGATATAAAGAATTAAATTGTATTATTTAAATCATATTTAAATGTTGAAAAATAACATAACCTCAATGAAAACTTACATGAACGTATTCCCGAATAAAATTTTTTAATTGATCTAATTTAACTTTCCATTTTCCGGGCGGTCTTTCCGTTCTTAATGTTCTCAAGTTCGTCATAAATTGATCGTTCATATTATTACTTAGAAAAGATTTATTTCATTAAATATAAATATAACCTAAAATTTTTTTAAGATTATTGGCTCTCAAATTATACTACTGACGCTTATGCAACTTATAATACAGGTGTATGTTAATGTAGTTGCCTATATTAATTATTGTCGTAAAAAATTAAGAGATAAAACGTCAAAATAAGTTTATTGTCTAACAAGGGAAGTATCAGAACTATCCCTCGCCGATTTTGTTGAAATTTGGTACAGCGATAGTATGGCCAAAAATAACGTTTACGTATTTTTTTATACGTGCTAATAAAGCCCCTGGGGCGAGTTATAAGGGTTAGAAATCGGGGCGAAATATACAGGATGATTCATAAGTAATGGGCCAAATTGTAAATGTACGGTCAGGAGGCCAAAATAATAATATTTTCATTAACAATAATGGGTCTTAGTCTGCTCCTTACTGAGATACAGGATGTTAAAGCGAAAAAAATAAAATAGATTTTTGTTAATAGATCAGCTACTTTTCTACATAATGACTCATAGTTGACTTATAGTTTTTGTAAGGGTAAACAATAATGTGTGAGAGGATTTGAGTTAACTCGTAGATGTCGCCACATGCGCCATATGAATTATGAAACGTCAATGAGCTTTTACGTTTAATGAATAGTTTAAAACATTTTATTGTTAAGTAAACTGATTCATTCTTGTCCTAACATAAATCAAAATGCCGAGACATAATCACTTTTCAAACGAAGAAATGAGAGACATGTTATGCGTTTACGCACAAGAACGTTTTTCTGGGCAAGCAGCATCCAGAAAATATCGTGAAATGTACCCTTACAGAAGGCAGCCAAACCGGAAGATATTTCAAAATATTTATAATCGATTGGGTGAAACAGGTTCATTTCGTCCAAAATATCATACAGGACGTCCTAAGATTATCACTCCGCAGCAAGAAGATGAAATTTTGGTAAGAATTGCGCAAAATTCTGAAATAAGCACTCGTCGATTGTCTGCAGCAACTGGAATAAGCCAACCATCCGTGACTAGAATTTTACACAAGGAAAATTTATATCCCTATCATTTTATACCTGTGCAAAATTTACTTCCAACAGATTATCGAATCAGAGTTCAATTTTGTCAGTGGCTAAAAGGAAAATTGAATAATAATCCAACATTCCTAAATAACATTCTTTTCACGGATGAAGCAACCTTTACCAGACGCGGAGTTTTTAATTGGCGAAATAGTCATGCCTGGGAAACCGAAAACCCTCGTTTAAAAAAAGATAGACATTTCCAGCACGAGTTTAAAATAAATGTGTGGTGCGGTGTAATAGGCAATACATTACTGGGCCCAGTTGAATTACCTCCTAATTTAAATGGAGAGTCATATTTAATTTTTTTAAATAATGACTTAGTCGACCTCTTGGGAGATCTTCCATTACAACTAAGAAGAAATATGTGGTTCATGCAAGACGGTGCTCCTCCACATTTTTCACGTGCTGTGCGCGAACATCTGAATGAAACATTCCCTCACCGTTGGATTGGACGTGGTAGTGAATTTCAGTGGCCACCTCGCAGTCCCGATTTTAATCCACTTGATTTTTATGTGTGGGGTTACATGAAATCAATGGTCTATGCTGAACCTACTATAAATACACGAGACGAGTTATGGAATAGAATTCAAGATGCAGCCAATTCAATACGAAATAATCCTGCTACATTTTTTAAAGTCAGACAATCCTTAACCAAACGGTTAAATGCGTGTATAAATGCTGGTGGTGGTCATGTTGAAAACCTTTTGCAGTAGCTCATAATTAAGCTTAAATTTAATTTAACTTCGCACAACATTAACATGTAGGTTTTGATAACAGTTGTCGTAAGTGGTCTTAGTTCAAGTCTGTTCTAATGTTGTATTTCGTTTTATTAACTGGCGTACAATAAATTGTTTTATTACGTAATTTTTTTATGGTTTCAGTTTAATATTGTTATCAATTATCAATTACGGTTAGGTAAATGTCAACATTCCATGCCATGCTTGTGTCTTAACAGATTAATGCTACGTCGACCACCGTGAAATGTAGTGTAGTGAATTAGTAAAATTCAAATATCTCGAAAATCGTTAATATTTTCAAGATCAAAGAAGTATAGCTTTTTTCTACAGAAATGATGGGGCTATCCAAATTAAACAAGTATGTTGTAAAATAATGAGCGATAAAAAATTTGTAGCTGATTTCATCTAATTCATATGGCGCATGTGGCGACATCTACGAGTTAACTCAAATCCTCTCACACATTATTGTTTACCCTTACAAAAACTATAAGTCAACTATGAGTCATTATGTAGAAAAGTAGCTGATCTATTAACAAAAATCTATTTTATTTTTTTCGCTTTAACATCCTGTATCTCAGTAAGGAGCAGACTAAGACCCATTATTGTTAATGAAAATATTATTATTTTGGCCTCCTGAACGTACATTTACAATTTGGCCCATTACTTATGAATCACCCTGTATATATTCGCTTATAGGCTAAAAACGAAAATAGCTATCGAAATGTGGTAAATGTAAACTGATATTCATTTTCAAAGAGGTTTGCATTGATATATCACACATATATGATATCTAAAGGTTTCAGGGGGTAAACTACCCCTAGTTTTTTGGAATATTTTACAAACTACCCTGTCGATTTTGGCGATATTATGTATCCTTATAGTACGTTTAAAAATATTAATGTTGTGTTTTTTCTTATTTGCCTCTGACCATCCCCTGCAAAGTTACGGGGTATGATAGATAACCCCTTTCCTTAAGAATAATGTGATAAACTGTTACACTTTTGAACAATATATTGAAGAAAACCATAAATTAGTCATAAATTAAGATTTACGCAGTAAAATACATACGACATTAAGGGGTGGCTGGGGTTAACTGCTCTAACCACCCCCAAAATTAATTTTTTTTTGCGAAAATTGTTTGTCGATTTTGGTGCAATTTCCCACGATAATTTTTTTATACGTTAGGTAGTGCTATTGTAAGAACCCTTGTGTGTAACCCTTGTAAGGTTAGAAGTTTGGGGTAGAAAATATATTTTCGCTAATAACTTTCATACTCCTACAGAAAAATATTTTTTATCCTTATTCTATTTAAATAACACGAAAGTTAGGATAATTATATAAATATTTATTAATAATGAGTTATAAAAAGCTACTGAAAAAAATGGTTAAGTATCACAAATTGTATTGTACATTGTTAGAATCCTCTGGCACGTTTGGACCGAGGGTAATAAATACAATGTTCAAAGCACCTAACATAGTCGTTTTGGCATCAAAGTCTGGTAAACTGACTTCTGCTCATATGAAAAATTGGCTACAAAATGTCTATTTCCCAAACACCGGACCCAAATCATTAATATTACTGGATTCTTGGAGTGGCCACTGCCCTGAAATTATTAGTGAANTAAAAATTTTTATGTCTAAAAAGAAACAATATTTTCTAACACGGTTTGTTTCATAAAATGTTTATGATTAATTGTATCTTTTACTGGTTAGTACAAAATCTTGTATTAAATATAATACGTCTCTCTATTTATATGTTTCACCTGTCCTGGCACGCATCTTCAGAATAACTACAAAAAATTGCATTAAAAATAACTACATTAAAATTTATTTTAATTTAATCATGTTAGATTACAGAATTGACAATCGTGCAAAATTTAATTTTTTGCCATTTTCACTGTATTATTGAAACATTATTACGAACAATTTTTTTTAATAAAGAGGTGTTTTAACTCTTCCAGGCACTAAGTATAAACATTAAATTCACTGAAATAAATATTATTTTTTAAATACAACAAACCATAACATTCTTGGAAAAAGTTTTTAAGAACTCGCGCGTTTACCTGTTAGACCTTTTTTGGCAAAAGAAATTCTCATTGTTAGAAAACAATCAGTTTCTGTGAAAAAGTGTTTTTTAATAACTCCACTTCTTTATATGTATATTAGAACCTTGTTACTGCTAAACAGTCATTTTTGAAATATTTTTTGGTATAAAGGGAGAATATATTGTCATAATACTTAGTTCTTCTTAAGACACCTCAGTGATCTTTCGTTTAAGAAAATAGCAAAATGATGTAAAAGTTTTGTTGATAATGGCTAGCAGCAGCAAAAGTTTTGATTGCAAGAACAATCCTGATTCGTTCTGTTTTATTTGCGGACAATACATTATTGGGATGACGGGACGACCAATTACAACTATTATAAAACAGGCGTATTCTCGTTATTTTGCGTTTGCTTTGACGAATTTAAACAAGCCCTGAACGCCCAGCTTTGTATGTCCGAATTGCGGTATAACTTTGAATAGATGGATGGCGGGGAATCTATATCTCATTTACAGTTTGGTATTCCAATGTTATGGTCACAGACATCAGATCATTTCGATTGCTATTTCTGTAACATAAACCTAGAAACATATGTGGGCATATCAGAGGTTTTAACTCTAGTTCAATATAACGCATTTGAATGGAACGTTTGTGCAGATTTAAAGGTAATTGCCGCAGTAAAGAAATTTACTAACTTCTAGCTTTTAAGTATTGACTTACATTTCTATGATTTTCAGGTAATTGCTGTGGTTACTGGCTTACAAGGCGGTTTTACAAAACATTGCTGTTTTCTTTATTTGTGGNGTATCACAACACATGTTGATCACGTGGTACCGACGAGTAATCCCGAGCAAAATAGTGCGGTGCCTACGAAGTACCCGAAGGAAAAGTACACGTCTAGTGTAAAATTTAATGTTTTATATATTACATAACTTCACTAACATAAGTAAAAAAAGAACTCTCCTTTAGAGAACTGTAAAAACTACTCTATTAAGTGAATAATATATGAACTCTATATTAATATTAAATGTAGTGTACATTAGAGTTGTTTTTACCATGTGGTATTACAATTTTTACTCTAATTCTTTTTACCAACTACTCTAAAATTTTTACACGACACGATTTTTTCCTGTGTGTATTTGGTTTTGGAATATGAAAAAATTTCATTAGAAGATTTTCTGATCAAGTTATTCTCTACCAGTACGATTTCAATTTGCATCAGCG